ATATATATATATATATATATATATATATATATTATTTTTATATATAAAAAACCTTATAAACATGGACCATTGAAAAAATAATTAAATCTACTCAAATTTAATGAAGTAGATTATCATTTTATGATCAATTTAGAGACTTGGTCCTAAAGAAGGAAAATACATTGAATTGGGTGTATGAATTTTTTTGGTTATTTTTGTGATTACCTCTTTTATTATTTTCTTTTAAGCGGCAAAATAATTGTTGTAGTCGTGTCCATTACCCTCTTATAAAATAGATGCACATCGAAATCAATCAATGTCCTAATATCATTGTAAGATTTCAGTTGAAATTAACTTGTTATTTTATTATTAAGTTAATCTGAATTTAAGAATGTCACCGAGTTCTAGAATTGAAAGGACTTGGTCGTATTGAATGAAAATACATTGAATTGGGTATAGAAACTTCTTGGCCACGTGCTCAAATAAAAAGTTAATTTTTATTTTTTTCCTTTCGAGAAAAAAACGTTTTTGGTGGCTTACGGATTGCTTCTTCAAATTCGAAATATCCACCGAAATGAAATGAAATGTTAAAATAGAAATCACAAGTGTTTCTAGATGAATTTAAAATGCAAAAAAAATTCCAACATGGGTGATTCTAAATCCATCCATTGTAGTTAATATTTATACCTTTATTAATTATAAATATATTTTTTATTTATGATTTATGAATGTCTATATAAGGTTAAATAAGATTATGTAGATACGATTAGTTATAAAACTTACATAAAAACTATAGGGTGGACTAGTTAAACTAAGACCTTCCAAGATGATTTTGGCTCATGTTTGCTTCGGTTCTAAAAGGTAGGAGGTAATTTAAGTTCTTTTTACAAGAAAAAATAAATTGTTTCCTACTTTTTATGCCTACAAATATTCCTACTCAATAAAATTATGACAAATATTATCATTCCATATTTTTAACTATCTCATTAAGGTTATATTAGGAATATATCAATTACAATTAAATTGAATGATGATTTGTCATAATTTTAGTGGGTAGGAATAATTGTAGGTATAAAAGGTAGGAGGTAATTTAAGTTCTCTTTACAAGAAAAATTAAATTGCTTCCTACTTTTTATGCCTACAAATATTCCTACTCAATAAAATTATGATAAGTATTATCATTCCATATTTTTTTAACTATCTCATTAAGGTTATATTAGGAATATATCAATTACAATTAAATTGAATGATGATTTGTCATAATTTTAGTGGATAGGAATAATTATAGGTATAAAAGGTAGGAGGTAATTTAAGTTCTCATTTACAATAGTAAGTGATTTTTTTTTATATATGAATATGAACAAGTATGTCGAAATTTATATAGTTTTCTCTTGAATAAATAGTTTTTTGTTTATAAGATTGTAGTATAACAAATTAGTTTAACTCAATGATTCATTCTAACATTTTTATTGATCATATAAATGTATTTACAAATATATAAAACCCATAAGAACATGAAAAATGTTGGATATGTCATAAGTCGTAGGATTTATGTACATAAATACTACTTATAAAAGACTTAAATATAATCAACCATGAGTTTATTATAAGTTACAACACTCTCTATTAGGTGCTTAGATTCACACTAAGTCATATTTGTATGTATTTGTATTTATCTTCAGATAATACATCAACTATTTGTCTTGTTAAAAACCTTGTAGGAGAAAACACTTTAAAAAAACTCTGGCTAAATGTCTTGAGCGAAAGAAATAATCATATATGGTGTGCCTCATCAAAACCTTTTTAAAAGAAACCTAGTGGGACAAAAACTCTAAGAAAAGATCAAAAGAGTACACAATGTCAAAAGTATTCAATTGGATACTGCCTTTAATTTTATCAATTCTTAGTGAGAATGTGATACACATTGTGTCTCGTTAAAAACAATTTTGTCAAGCTAAACCCCATGAGACAAACCCCTTTAATTAAGGATAAAAAGAGTATACAAACATTCGTTAGGAGTTTCCCCTTCACATGCAATTAAGAAAGTGCTAAGAATACATCATGATGCAATCCTTACTTTCACACAACTTGGTGCATGAAACATGTCATTTAGGTAGCTCAGAGAGCTTCGTAAGTCCAATGGCTCTAAAATGTTTTTGGAATGAATAATTTGGTTGTGACTTGGTGAACAAGTCTGCATGATTCTTCTCTGATCCAATATGTTGCCCTTTAATCTTTTGAATTTCCAGTTATTCATGTATGAAGCACAATTTTCGTGAGACGTGCTTAGTGTTTTCCCTTTTGATGTAACCATGTTTCGATTGATTAACAACATCATTGTTATATTCGTATGTGATAAGTAGTTTATTGATATCATAAGCTAAATAACATGTACTTTGAATATGGTCAATCACAGCTTGAAGCTATACACACTATCTAGTCGTCTCATAGAGCATGAATAGTTTGGAGTGATTGCTCGAAGTAGAAACTAGAGTCTGTTTACAAGACCTCTATGATATCGTTTTGTTCCCGCTGGTAAAGGCATAACCAAATTGGGAATTTCCCTTATGTGGGTCTGATAAGTATCCTGCATCGATATAGCCGCCAAGGGTCCGTTTATTTCTAGTATCATTCTGGGTATATCTACTTGATGATTTGTATGGATAAAATAAACCTATATTCGTAGTACCTCTAAGGTAACTAAAAATGTCTTTAATACCATTCTAGTGGCAGTGTGTTGGCGTAGTGTTGTGGCGAGCAAGATAGTTCACAACAAATGAGATGTCAAGTCTAGTATATTGGATCAAGTATAAAAATGCGCTTATTTCACCCGAATATGAACACCTAGGGCTCAATATATCTTTATTTTCCTCTGTTTTGGATGTAATGATTTTTAATGTCTAAATAACGAACGATCATGGGAGTAAATGAGGATTTGCATTATGCTGACTAAAACATCTCAGTGAAGTAAAATATCATCTTTACATCGCTCGATCTACATGCCAAGGTAATACTGTGTCTCCCAATATCTTTCATCTCTAATTCCTTCTTTAGGATTTCAGCAATTCTAAACAATTCTTGCTAGGTTCCTATAAGATTCATATAATTTACATCAATTATGATAATAATCTATCGTGAAGTATATTTTGTTACGAACACGCATGTGCATATCTCAGTATTTAAGTATCCCATTCTGATCACGTACTCACTTATACATTTATACCACACCCATCAGATTGTTTCAATCCATAAAGTGTCTGTCTTAGTCTTATCAAGAAGGTGTGTTGTGGTCTAAAACAAATTGATATGGGAAACTTAAGTCCACCAAGGACTTTCACGTATATCTATTTGTATAAATCCCCATAAAGATAGGTTGTGACCACATCTATAACTTGTATTTTTAGTTTTTAAGAAACTACTAAACTAGTTAAGTAGTGAAACGTTATAACATCCATTACGGGAGAACACATATCCTCGTAATTCATAACCAATTCAAGAGTGTTAAGAGAAGCCTTTTACTTCGAGGCAAGCTTTGCATTATAGAATCTCATTACTCCCATTACGCTTCATTACAAAAACCCACTTGTTACCCATTGGTTACAATAGGTGGTGTTGGAGCAACAAGTCTAAACACACTTCTTTTCTCTAAGGAATCCAATTAATCTAGGCTTTCTTGTTGTTGGGATATTAATCCTAGAATGATCGATTAGATTTAAACAAGAAATAGATTGAAACAAGAACACAACGATGATTCAAAATATGCTGAATGAATCAAAAGTCACGCCTCAGAAGAACTCGAAAAAGAATTGTTGTTGTAGAGGCGTGATTAGGGTTACAAGAGATAATATCAGAGTTACCAAAATACGATGCATGCATGCACCTTAAATACTCTAACCCTAGTAAATAAATACGAGAGGATAGGCGTAAACCATTTACAAAACAGACTATACATAAGGCCCAATGACGCAACATAATTATCCTTTCAATCTCCCCCTTTGCGTCAATTGAGCAAATGTCCATCAGGGCAATTTTCGCTTTTTTACTTCAAATATTTTTGGCATAATGCTTAAGAGTGCCTTGCGAACCTGGACATACCACTGAATCATGTCTGAGAAGCACTTTTTGTCACCTTCACTATTGGCCTTGCAGTTGTTAACCAGGTCCATGATAAATTCAAGACAATAAGTAGTATACAAAATGTTTGTCTGGGAGAAAGAAACAAGCTTTAAGAAAATCAGATTTGTTTCGATCCCTTGCTTGAAAGACCACATACCAGCTTTCCTTGTAAAAATTTCCAAGCTTTAACTTCTCAAAACCCTCAGGAGCTTCTTTAGGAACTATAGAAGGCTTCTTTTGCAACACTGCAGCTATCTCTACATCCATAGTTCCCACCTCTTAAATATATGAAATGATCATGAGCTTGAGGTGATGGATAATAGGCTCGTACTTCTGCTAATCTCTCAACAACAAGTTATAGAGCATTATCCAATCATATGGTTTGATACACGACAAGTCAGCGAGAGTGAATTCATGAACTTGGCTCGCAAAACCTCTGGCAACTTTGAATTTTGCATTCGGAAAACTGTTAGTTTCAATTAGTCCAGTGACCTTCACTACCTTTATCTTGCTTGCACTCCAAGTCTCGTATTGTGGCCTCATGTGTTTGAGATAAAATGCAAATAGTAGTTGATCAACGCCATTATCAGCAGACAGGACATTTGCAACCTTGATAAAAGAGCGAAACTTGAAAGTCGTGGGAGTTATTGGAAGATCCAGTTATGAGTCTTGAGTATTCTGAAGTTCGGACAACATAACTAGTTCTAACCAATATTGATTCAAAGAGTCAACAAGTTTGCTCTGAATTCGCTTTAGCGTCTATACAGAAAACAAGAGTTTCCTGCTTTCAAGTGTGTACCTAGCTTCTCTTTCATCATTCTCCTTGGCTTCAGCCTCTCAAACGATTCTCTGATTTTCATTTAACTCAGCTTCATGAGCCTTTCGCTTTTTAAGTTCTTCTTCATCTAGCTCCTCTTCTTCACTATTATAAATGATTGGCTCTTTAGAAAAAAAAACTTTTCTTTTCCTTTAGGCTCAAATTCACTTTTAACAGTTGGCTTGACCACAATAGTTGGCTTGGCTGAAGACTTCTTTGTTAGATCTCTCCCTTGTTTCGGAATACTAGAGGATTCCAAAACACCCTCCAAACGGTGAAGCATTGTGAACACACGTCGTAGCTTTTCGGCTAGATGTTTTCGAATAGAAATAGTGATCATTGAGTCCCTAGTCTCAATGATATCAGAGACAGTAATATCGGTGATACAGCTTTTCATTACTACCCTCTCGATTACCAAATCCTAGACTTGTTTCTCAGCCTGTTCGAGTTTGACAGTTAGAACTTCAACTTTTTTTAGTCTTGATGGTGAGGGTGTCCATTAACTTACTTTCCATGGCCTTATCATCTTGAAGTTTGGATATGTGTGAGGAAATGGAGGATTAGAATTCTTCATGATCGTTAGTGATCCCTGTTCTGACTTCTTGAAGTTGATCTCGTTTAGCTTTAAGAGAAGTGCCAAGATTTGCAATTGCTTCATTAGCTTTCATTGTATTAGACTCAAAAGAGGACTGGAAGTTGTTCATAAAAGCTGTAACATCAGAAAATAGTTTATCGACTTTTTCGGTCGTTACGTTACAAACATTAGTAGAGGTATCCATTGCTTTATTCATCTTTTCAAGATTTGAGGAGTGCTCTTTGGTTAGGGTCTTAAGGATAGACATGACTGAAGCTTAGGAGTAGTCATCAGTTGAGGAAGGATTTGAATCCTTAAGCAACGACTCAAGCTTTTCATGGATGGCTTTGAGTTGCCCCTTCGTTACTGGAGCTTCGTCATCACTCTTAGTCCTAATGGTAAATTGACGAAAAATGTGAACCCTGCAAAGTCATCTTTACCATCCTCATAGATCATATCAGGATCGTCTTGGCGAAAAGGAGAAATGGGTGGTGAGATATGAGACGTTGTAAAACCTGAAGTGTCAGCCCCCACATCAGATGCGTTGATTGAAATAAAAGGTTCTATAGACGTTTGGGGTTGAGTAATAGAATTAGAGAAAAGTGGAGTAGATAAATGGATACTAGTCTGAGTTTGAGAAGAGACTGGTGGAGGACAAGGTGAAATAGTTATAGGTGTGAAAGTGGTTGTAATTATGGGTGAAGGAGGAGGAGATGGAAAGAAATCATTGTAAGTAGTAGTTACCTCGGGATTAAATGTGACATCTTCATTGTGAACATGCACTTCCTCCTCATTGCGAACATGCACTTCATCCTCGTTGTGCACAAGTGGTTTCTCCTCATTACGAACATGTTGTTCTTCCTCATTACGAACGGTTTCTTCTTCCTCATTACGAACATCTGACTGAGTGTCAGAGTTCGAATGTTCGCTTTCAGATGGATTGGGGGACTTGGTCTTGCGAGTTGGGTTTTTGAACTTTCGCCTTTTTGGTGCATGAGGTTCGGTCTGACCTTTCCTTTTCTTAGGAGTCTGAGTTGGAGCAGATGGCCCCTCTTGCCCCTCTGTTTTCCTTCCCCTTTTCTTCCCACCTTTTTGACCTTTCTTCTTGGGTCTGTCTGCTTCATCAATTATCATTTGCATTTTAGAAGTCAAGGGACGAAACCCTGTAGCATGAATTTTCCAGTATCCCTCCAGAATCTTGCTAGACAGCGGCACATCACGAAACATCGCCTCTGGGATTGATCCAACAAAAGAATATTTTGATGTATCAGCAACAACAATACATGTGGTGTGAAAAGTCAAAATTGATGCCATCATTTCATCTTGCATCATTGGAATCTTAAGTTTCTCCATAACTCTGTGGACGATGATGGTCCAAAAACGTGCACAGGAGATTTCACTGTGACGCGTGGTTAAGTGAGTGCTTTGAATGACTTGAGCCCATAGAACTGCTCCAAAATCAATATTTTGACTTGTGTAGATTCCATAAAGAATCGCCATGAACAACTTGCTGGTGCAATCCGATCCAATAACTCTTTAAGAAAAGGCCTTGAACAGTAGAGTGAAGAGGTCATTCCATTGTGGTGGCAGATTTGGTTTCCGAAAGTTGGAGATGGTGGTTAGGGTTTCTTTATACCCCATTTGGAAAAACATCTCCAATAGGGCAGTGTTGGACATAGATTCAGGGTTAATCATGTCGTCTGATTAAGGAAGCCTTAGAATAGAGCAGAATCGTGATTTGGAGATGGAGGTTTTGTAATTGAGGATCTCAAACATAATCCTATGTTCTTCTTTGAGAAAACTTGCAGAACAATAGTCTTTGCATAAGTACGACATCGGGATGTCTTCCATCTTGGTAAGTGCAACCGTCAATGGAGAGTATTTGAGGCACTCGACAATCGGAATCATGTAGCTATCATATTTGCATGGATCGAGATCGATCGCCAGATTCTGATTTTGCTTGATGGCAATGAGTGAAGACTACGTTGTTTGATCTAGAACTGAGGGAATTTCAGAAGAACCTACCATTGTTAATAGCTTGAGGAAGAAGATGTACAATAGAATGCTTTGATCGCCAGAAGTCTTGGAGAGAACAGTATGAGTGGTAATGTGAGATGAAGCGCCAAAAACCATTTATACCATTTGTTTGGTGAGAGAAATCTAGAGAGAGATTGCCTTAGGACCTGAAACATCGCTTGTCGAAGTGCGATTTGACAGTTGTTATGTCAGAAGTGTGCGTCATATAGCGGAAAAGGAAAAGTTCATTCAAAAATTTACGCGCCCATCATTGCATAGATGAGGCATTCTTAGCAAACTATATCCTTTCGCAATGAGACTTTCTTGATAGCCCTGCGAAACTAAGATGAATCATGAGAACCACGAACCATAATTTGGAAAGATCATAAGGATCCTTATGCAAGAGTGTGCCATAGATGCATAAATAAATCAATAAGTTCTAAGGGAGTCTAGTGATGTTTAAGAAGACACGAAACTGTGAAGAGAGACTAAGAAGTGTCTGTGTGGTTTCCCGTTGAAATACGATCAAATGTTTGATAAGAAACATTGAAAGGCATCTTTTCTTTAGGCTATATGGGTGGCTTTATCTCCAACCAAACTCCAAAACTTGATATAAGTACGAATGTTTGGATGAAGTACTCCTGTGACTAGTGTAGTCAGTTGAATGAGTAGGATTGGAAATATTTGAGTGACAAGGATAGTTTTAGAAATCTAAAAAAAATAAAAACTGGATCTTATGGGAAAAATGTCTTAGGACAAGAACACTTTATAAAGATCTCGCAAAAGCAAAAGAGATTTCTTGGTACAAACCACGAAAGTGGCTTTCATTAATTCCTTGGTAAATATCTTGAACATTTAATTGTTCACCGTCAATTCGTTTAAGTGTGTTGGATTTTGGATTTCACTTAGTTCGCGGTGAAACGAATCTAAGATCATTAACAAAGATGTTATGTAACTATAAACCTCAGTGGTAATTTCTGAGAGTCTCAAGGGTTACAATGATGAATGCGAAGGTGATGAAGAAATTTGAAGAAGGTTCTAGAGAAGAGAATGTACCTCTACTATGCGAAAGTGACTAAGCAAATAACTCTTCACTCAAATTGAGAAGAGTAAGGTAGCTCATGACTTATGTCAATTGAACAACCTGATTGGGAAGAAACGATTGGTAGAATCGATTCATTAAGGCTTTAAAATAGAGTCGTCGAGGCTTCAAACTACATGCAGCAGCATGCTTCTAGGGACGCTTAGGTAGTACATAGGTGAAGAGATTGATACCTTCCCCATTACACCAATAGAGAGAGATTACGAACGTGTTTCTCCATGAGATTCTCAGTTGTCTAGAGTTTTGAATATTTGTGAAAAATAAAAGAAATTAATAAAAAAACACAAATAAAATATTTTTGAATTTTGATTTTTTGAAAATAAAGAAAACAGAAAGAAATAAACTATTTTTGAGATTTTGGAATTTTCTGAAAATAATGAAAAAAGAAGAGATGAAAAAACGAAACAATTATAAACAACATTATACATATTGTACAAAAGCATACTTGAGAAACCGACCCACTAATGAACAATAGACTGCAAATGAACAGTTGACTACGAACTATTGCGAGCTTTCACACCGATTCGCACTGTTGAAGTAGACTACAAATGAACAGTAGACTGCGAACTACTGTGAGCGTTCACACCGATTCGTTGTGTAAACCTTATGAATGCGAAAGTGGTTTCGGAATAGATTCAACTTCCATCATTCGAATACCTTGAAGGATTCTATTAAAGGTAGATTCAGGTAAGGCCTTTGTGAATACGTTAGCTAACTGATTAGCGGATCTTACGAAGTTAATTTTAACATTGCCATCTTCCACATGATCTTTGATGAAGTGATACCTTAGTACTATGTGTTTCGTCTTAGAGTGTTGCATTGGGTTATGACAAACGCGAATGACACTTTCAGAGTCACAATATAATGGGATCCGTTTCATGCTTAGGCCATAGTCACGAAGTTGGCTTTGAATCCAAATTACCTGAGATGTGCATGAGGAAGCTGCAATGTATTCAACCTTAGCTGTTGACAAGGAAACGCAGGATTGCTTTTTGGATTGAAAACTTACAAGTTTGATATCAAGGAATTGGTATCCCCCAGTTGTACTCTTTCTATGTAATCCACATCCTCCAAGATCAGCATCTGAAAAATCTTGTATAAAGAACCCATAATTCGAAGGGTACCATATTGCAAGTGAGGAAGTTCGTTTTAGATACTTGAGAATGTTCTTGACTTCCGTCATGTGAGGCTCACGGGGATTAGCTTGGAACCTAGCATAATAGCAAACGGAAAACATAATATTTGGACGAATCGCAGTTAGATACATCTAGGAGCCTATCACTTGACGATATAGTGTCATATCTGCAGTCGGTTTATCCAAACAAGGAGTTAGTTTTGTTTAGAATGCCATTGGAACCTTCGCTTTTGAGTCTCGCACCATCCCAAACTTTGCAAGTAGATTCTTCATGTAAGCCTCCTAGTTAGTAAAGATACCTTCCTGACTCTGTCTAATGTTCAGTCCAAGGAAAAGTTAATTGGACCCAAGGAGCTCATCTCAAATTTAGTTTCCATCAACTTTCGAAATTCAACTGTTAGGCCGGGATTAGTAGATCTAAAGATGATGTCATCAACATAAATTTAGACATTCATCGAGTGGTCACCCTCTTTCTTACGAAAGAAGGTTGGGTCAACTGAACATTGTTTAAATTTAGACATATTTAAGAATCTAGTAAGAGTTTCGTACCAGGCTCTTGGAGCTTGCTTCAAACCATAAACAACCTTGTCTAGGATGTAACAGTGAATTGGGTACTTCTCGTTTACGAACCCTGATGGTTGTTCCACATATACAGTCTCTTCAAGTTCTCTGTTCAAGAATGCACATTTGACATACATCTGAAATACTTCAAAGTTCTTGTGTGCTGCATACGCCAAGGAGATGCGAACGGATTCTAACCTTGCAACTGGTGTAAAGCTTTCTTCGTAGTTAATACCTTCTTCCTGAAAATATACCTTGACAATGAGTCTTGCCTTGTTTCTGATCACATTCCCTTCTTTATCCAGCTTATTGCGAAATACCCATTTCAAATTGACAACTGATGCATAAGGTGGATTGGGAATCAACCTCCAAACCTTGTTTCGTTCAAACTCGTTGAGTTCGTCTTGCATCGCTTGCACCCAATCAGAATGATCAAGAGAAACATTAATAGTTTTGGGTTTAACCTTGGAAAAAATGAATTAAACATACAAAATTCCACTTTAGAGAATAATGCAGCTTTTTTCGCTTTTTGTTGGGATCTTGTGAGTACGCCTATAGAAGACTTGCCAAATGACTTGGGTTTTTGGATGATCTCTGGTCCATTTGGTTAGTGGAGGGTAATTTTTATCATAAGAAGGTTCTTATTTAGTGTTTACCTCCTTAAACTCTAATTGTACATCCGAATCATCATTCACATCTTTATTCTCCCCTTGGAATGATGAGAGTTCCTCTACTTCAGTAATGGAATTGTCTCCTCCAAATGGAGATTCATGAGTCATTGTTGGTGGGTTAGTTGTTGAAGTAAAACCCTCCCCCTTCAATGGAACATTCGTATCTTGTGGTGTAGAGTGCTTCACCTGAAATCTTGCATTGGCAGTTGAATCAGAATACTCCCCCTGGAATTTAGTATGCGTGTCTTGAGGGACGTACACACTTAGTGGCTGTTTGTGCATATCCTTCTCGGCGTCATCAATTATTTTCTTCAATACATTCTCTTTGTTGTCATCTGTTGTTGATTCAGATGAAATACCCTTATCTGGTTCGTGAAAGAGTTGTTGGGTTATGAGCATTCTAACACTCCTAAGTGTACATGCAACCCTAAATACCTTGGATCTATGTTTTCTCTATTATACATACAAATATGAATATCCAAGGTATTATCCTAGATTAGCATACTAAACTATCAATATAACAAGATAAAATACATACCTCTTTGATGGTGCTTGTCTTCATGAAGCTTGAGTGCCTAGTGCCCCAAGTGTGACACCTCAAATGGTTCACACAACACCAAATACACTTGGAATAACTTGAGAGAATTCTACACTT